GTTTCTCAATCGTTAGCTTCAAGAATTTACTCATTATCAGATAAAACGAAAGATAGTGTGCACTGAAGATATTTTCTGTAGCACTTTCATGCTGAAAGATATGTTCTGATAGGCAGAAAAATCACTCAAAATAGCAAAATGCTGCATAAATGCATGGTTTCAAAATATTGTCACGCTCAAAACTTCCCAATAAGGCAGAGGGGAGGGGGGGATGAATGGCGTAGTGGTCTGATACGCACCAGTCAGTTCTGTATTCATTTAGATGGCCCAGCCGAATCCAAAATTCTAGAATTTTGGCTTTAGGTCTAGAGCTCTGGCTCCAAATTTTTAAAAATTCCTGACCTGGCTCTAACTTCGCATTTTTCGAAAATTCCACTCCAGCTCCAGCTCTGGCTCCGCACTTTTCAAATCACCGACACCAGCTGTGGCGCTCTACTTAAGACTTGCTTTAGTTTGCTCCAGTTCCGGAAAAATTATGCTGCAGGTCTCAGCTGCAGTCACTGATTGCTGTTTTTATAAATTTTTAAGGAAATCGAAAAAATCTTCTTGGCTAAGAAGCTGGCTTATCACTGGTCACAACTGTTCTCAGGGTTTGGAGACCAGCATACTCGGTGCGATGCGAACATTTTGCAAATATTCCTCAACCGTTTTCCATCCTCTTGAAAATTTGTTCCGGTCCACCAGTTGGACAGCTGACTGGTCTTCTCCGTTTCTCTCTGATAGGAATGGAAGAGCATATCGGGGTCATTCAATTCATAGTCATTGAATTCCTATAATTAGACTACTATAAAAAGTGTGACATTTTTCGTATCCTAATGCGGCCAACGTCGCATCCATTTTGTCCATCGTAATTCGAGTAAATGCCCTTCTTGCGTTAAAAATTCGATTGAAAGAAAATTACAAAACTTTCAGTTATTGGTTTAACTCATCAGTGCTAAAAAAAACATTTGAAATTTCGTTCAATGAAATAACCTCACGGATTTTTCGATTATCATCAAATGTGACAATGATCAACACATTGCTACTGGGTCATTTCTTATTTCTGTTTGTAAATCATCAAAATGTTTACGAATTTCTTCGCTATTCGTAAAAATTGATAGTTCCATTCTTATTGTCAATGTACCGCTGACATTCAAAGATTTCAAAGACTATCTTCGTTCGACCTGGCTTCGCCGTTTCCGTCGTTCCAGCGTTGTGCTTACGATTATTCTTGNATGAGCCAGTTTAAACCTTGTGACGGTCCATCGATTGTGAATGCTCTATCGATTCAAAGGGATATTCATCGAGAGTGCTTGTTTTTAGATCATTCACGCATCCTAATAATCGCTTGATGCAAAAATTACACTTGAAATCGAATAATCGAGTCAAACATTCCGTGAATTTTGCATGTTATTGGGCTTTGGTTTTTCAGTTGTGCCGTATCTGTCAAAACAAATGATGAGTGTTTCGATAACAAATCTCGAATCTTAAAAACGAAAAAAATTCTCATTTTTACCATGAACAACAAGACATTATAAGTGATGAATGTGTACGTTCAAATCGTCTACATCGATTATCGCCAAAATCACTGATAGTGATGAATGGATTTTCAGACTGTTTTATCCAAAATCACATCATTAGTATCACTAAGAACATCTGATCGATCAGCTTCTCCAATAATTTTTATTGTGCAACTAACGTAATTATGGCATCCTGAACTGCTCACATCCAATTGTCGCTTTTTGAAGAATTGTTTCGTTTCAGTTTTGTATGGAACAAAATTTATCGGCATTTCCATTCTGAGAATCTTTCTTTCACGATGTTCTTCGAAAATGTTTTGTGCATTTGTTTACGTGCATTTTTTAAAATTTTTATTTTTGTTCTGAACATGCTGTCGCCTTAGCAAATTAATACTGAAAACATTCGAAAACCGTACTCATTTCGTAACTTTTCTGATGATTTTTTTGCTAACTGATGATTTTTCAGTTAGCAACTTATCAAGGACCAGGAAGTTTTCATGTTTTGAGACCGGAAGATATGGCGAAACTTCACAATTTGGCAGCCAAAGGTTAGACTCTTCCATTGCTGACGATTCTTGAAGTTATTTAAACAGTGTCGCTGGCATCGGTTACTGGTGTTGATCCAGTAACCTGAGTGAATTGAATGTGTCATCGTTGCCACTAACATTTGATAAGAGAAGCAAGTTGAATCAATTCATTCGGACTGGAATTCAAAATCACTGAAAGCGAAAACAAGTGTCCTTCATACTTACCCCTCTTCAGTCTCATCAGCCATCTTTGACACCATTAGTAACCAACTGATCACTGAAAACAGATCACTGAGCATTGCAAACATTTTAAATTGTTTTGACGGAAACAATGCATTTTATCGATGACGTTTTGTGACTTCATTCATACCTATTCCGTCTATTTTTGAAATTTGACCTGATTATTGTGTATCGATGTTCCTAACCCTTCCAAACGCTCACGGAAAAAAATTCACGCTCTAGAGAACCCCCATAATAGTGAATAAACTATTCTGGTCTGAGATACTATCGCCTGACAATTGATAACTCATTTGAAATATCTGGTGCTTGTAGATGACTTGAGGAATACTTTGCGGAATCCTTTTGCGGAATTGTAGATGTTTATAAGCTAGTTTTTATGTTCGAGTTAAGTTTGCTCTCAAATGATTGAATTTGATTTCAGGCGACGATACAGCGTTACAGTATTTGCTCTCAAACTATGAGAATGTTATGATGAGATCAGAGATTCAACGAGCCGAAACATGGACGGTGAGTGCTGAGGTTTCTTCGAAAAGATTTGTGGGAAATTGAAAAATGATTGAAATTCGTGAAAAGATTGAAAAATCATTGATTCACTACCTCCATGCAGAACTGAGACAACAACATCCTCATATTGAAAACTTCAAACGCTCCTAATGAAACGAAGCGAAAGTTAGCTAGCTGCATGAAGTCCAATTGCAGAATGCCGCATTGTAATTTCCAACTCTAGCATTCAGATGTGTTATTGTTTTTCGTCGTTCGCCTTGAAAATGCTGCTTCGCAATATTCTTTCCAGTTTTATCTTCCCCATCAGTTC